CTGGGATGAACCCCACTTGGTTGTATAATCTTTTTAATTCATTGTTGTATTCTATTTGCTAGAATTTTATTTAGGATTTTTGCATCTGTATTCATCAGAGATATTGGTCTGTAATTTGCTTTTTTTGTGTTATCCTTACCTGTTTTGGTATCAGGGTAATGTTGACCTCATAAAATGAGTTAGGAAGTATTGCCTTGTCTTCAATTGTTTGGAAGAGCTTGAGTAGGACAGGTATTACATCCTCTTTGATTGTTTGGTAGAATTCACTAGTGAAGCCATTTGGTCCTGGACTTTTGGTTTTGGGAAGGTTTTGGATGACTGATTCAATTTTCTTTATTATTGATTGGTGGTTTTAGATTTTCCAGTTCGTGATTCAGTCTAGGAAGGCTATATGCTTCTAAGAACTTGTCCATATGTAAGCATTTTTATTAAAATTTCCCTATTTGAATAATTTGGAGGGAATTTTGTTATCCATAGGGAAACTGAGTTATTCTGAGTTGGAATAGTTCCTTTAGTGTGATTAACAATTTAATGCGCCATTAACTGTCCATCATGATAAAAGAGGGCTCAAAGCTTATTAGGCCCATTTTGAATAATGGGAAAACAATTCCATATATGGTGTCGGGTCTGAGGGTGTCAATCAAGGACCATCTCGTTGGTGAGATGCAGCTGAAAGAAGGCATGAGGCAGACTGTGTGTCATAAACACAGCAACAACTCTTTATTCATCCAAGGCCAGGGCCAGGGAGCAAGCTCCAAAATGGGAGCGGGGTTTTATACCCTCATACAAACAACAGCTGCATGGTGCCAGCACACATGCACAGGAAGGAAACTTACAAGCAATTAACAGAACAGGATAACAGGAAGTGTACATCAACAAGTCGTTTCCTCCCCTCTGTCCTACCCAAGGAGTAGGGACAGGCCAGTCTCCAAAGACTGTAAACATTTACTAACTGTGAGGCCCTAACACCTGGGCCCCACATATGGGTATGTAAGCATAACCTTTTTCAGAAGTAACCTGTAACTAAATTTTTTAGTTCATCTAGGACATGAGTGTTATCTATTATATGTCCAGGCTGCATTACAAGCTACACTGTGATGTTCATTATGACACATAAAATGTGACTTTATGTGCTCTATGAATTCTAGAATGATGTCAGCATCATGGCATAGTAGATTACCCTTTTATATTTCCCTTTAAATCTACAATGTATTGGTCATCTGTAACCTAACCAATGTTCCTCTCCTCAACACACCAAGACACCTGAGGAATCCATCCATTGGTGTATCTGAAGGTGGGTGTATGGAATGTGGAAGGAGGCAGGCTAGGGGAAAGTTGGGGATGGTACACACAACCCTGGTTCCATGGCTTCTACAGATGTACTCACAGCCCCGATGAATGTGGTAGGGGTGGAGGTGTCAGGGAGTGACCTTGACACCTATCAGGCAGAGGGTCAGAGGAGGAGCAGCAACAGCTTTGGCCCTGATTGCCGTGATGCTCACATTACTTAAGAGCCTGGAGATGTGTCTATAGCATTCTGCCCATAGTACGTGTGCCAGAAGCCATAGGAAACCAGGTAGCAGGCTGGTGGGTTCACTAACCCAGCTACCCCCGACCTGCCACATTTCCATCACAGTGATGTGCCCCAAGAAAGAGCAACCCTAACACAGTGGGGACAACCATAATGTCGACCCAGGTGGCAACTCTCATGACCACAATGAGCCACCTCCACACACTCCACAACCCCTGAGGCACAAGAAGTGCAAGTAAGAGGAAAATCAAAAGGGTACCTAAGTAAGAAAGATCTTTACTACTTCAAATGTTTCAGCAGAGAAACAACCCATCAAACACCGTGAGCAACCAAGGTAACATGGTAACACAGAAAGAAAATTACAGTTCTCCAGAAATTCACTAGTGAAGGCATCTATCTGGTCCTGGACTTTTGCTTTTGGGAAGGTGTTGGATGACTGATTCAATTTCCTTACTGTTGATCGGTCTATTTAGATTTTCCAATTCTTAGTGATTCAGTCTAGGAAGTCTAGATGTTTCTAAGAACGTGTCCATATGTATGTATTATCTTTATTAAAGTTTCTTTATTTGAATCAGTTGGAGGGAATTATAATCTCAAAGTCATGGAAGATTATAATCTAAATGATGGAAAATTTAATATAGCAGTCATTAATGTTGCTGTACACCTGGAATTTTTATAATGTTTATTACCAATGTTACCTCAATAAAAAAATAAATTTAAAAATCTAGGATTTTGGAGCAAAATCACACTATATTCTCCTGACTATTCTTCTGTATTTGAGAAATAGCTTCTGGGTTTTTACCAAGCTCTAGTAGACATTGAATGAAAGAGACAAAGATTACTAGGGTACCACTTAATACTCTGATGTATAATAATAAGTTAGTGAAAAGGTGTGACAAACCAATAAAACCACATCATCACACTGATTCTGAGTGAATAAAGGTTTAGATCATACCACCAACTGAAGAACCCTAAATGGTGGAGGAGCTGCCAAGTATAAAGGACAAATGTAATGTTATGGGAAAAAAGTTAAATTATCAACCTCAGCCTGCTGAGCACCTCCAGGAGCTGGAAATGTAAGGGCTGTGCAGAAGCACCCTGGCTGATAGGCTCTGCTCTGTTAGAGATGAGAGTTTCCTCATCTGAACAACTATAAGAATGGCTGCCAAGGGAATTTCATTCTCAGCCTTTTTCATCCTAACATTTGCTCCAAGGACTCTGGCTAATGACGTTTGTATCACCCAGGATTTTTTGCAGCTGAATTTACTGAGATTCAGCTGGAGTAGAGGCCTACAGATAATCAGAGAAAGAGGAAAGAAATCAGGTAATATCTTCCCTGCTACTTCTCTGTCTTGGCCTTACTTCTCTGGTGGTAACTTTGTCACTCTATGACCCTGTGTCTGCAATGTGATTTGTTTTTCTGGGGTTTAATAATAATACTATTTCTCCCTGTCCTTTCCACACTGGGATTGATAGAGTTTCTTTTGGACATTCATCATCCGTTGTTTCCTTCGCTGTGCCAACATTTCTGAAAGTAGTCATATCCTAATGTCTCTATATTGAATTATCTTGAGTAAATATTGTTTCCTATTGGAACAATAATAGATATGCATATATTTTTCATTTCTCTTAATATATAATCTCATCTAGTCCCATGGAAGAATATATCAAGGCTATATATTATAGATATACAATTTTATATTTCTAGAATACAGTGCCTTTCTAAATTTTAGACTTGATCTATCTGCTTAAACTTCTAATAGGCATATAAAACTTAGTGCATAGCAAAAGGAGCTCTTTTTATACCTTCTGTGGCAGACTGTTGATTTGTTGGCAAATATAGACAGGGCTACAAGGCCAAATCAAGTCTGAGTTTAACCGAATTCAAAAGGGAAGAAATATGAACAGCAGCTATTGAGGGGCAGCAAATGTTCTATGCTAGGATGGCCTGGCTCAGAGTCCAGAGGATGCTTGAGTGTATGCAGGGCACAGCCCCAGGGATGCCAGGCCAACCCTCATTGTATCTGAGCCATTTTCTGCATTCTGTTTGCAGAGAACAGATTTACCTTAAAGCAAATATAGCTTTCCAGGATAAAACACAATTGTAAAAGTCAAAACACATAAACATGAAGTACTTAAATGTTTTTTTTTAACATTACATAAGTAATTTGCAGTATTCAAAAAGGTTTTGCAGCAATCTACTGGCACTTTTAGTCACCTGACATTCAAGAAATAATATTTATATTTTCTCATTATATAGGTATTTTAAATTGGAAAGTAGTTTATAAATATACCATATTAAAATATATAGGAATTTCAAAGTATTTACTAAGTCCATGGAGTTCATTTATCTTTCCTATCAAATATGGAAAATAAAACAACAGGTAGATATATCATTGAGATTATAAGAGGGCAAACTTACTGCAATGTTTCATATGTTTGTTAGAGTAATGTAGAGCTAATTAAAATATGAATATTAACCTTACATTGGAGTACTGCATTGATAAATATTTAATATGCCACATGTTGGTGAGGCAGGTCTTCTAATAGCTTATGTTCTTAAATAACAACTAATTGATGAATTTACATTTGTAGAAGATAGAGACTGGAAAAAATTACAATGATCTTACATTTAAAGTATATGGCTTTTCTGTAGAAAACTATTTCTTTGATTATATTGAATTATTTAAATTAAGAATGCTACAGATTTTTAAATATAGTGTGAATTGACATTTAACTGTAACGTACTGCTCTTTAAAAATTTCGTTAAAATTAGTGAAATAACTTTTCGATGATTCTTTAATTTATTTCTCCTAAAATAATCTATTTACCTTTAAAACAGTACTACAACCTCATATGCTCAAAAAAACAAAAACAAAAAACATTCCATTGATTATCTTTTTTTTTTTAATGTTTTTTTATTGGGGAATTGGAGAAGGGGAACAGACAAGTTGCTGTCCTTTTGTTCTTCAGTCTAGTTGTGCCAGTCGCTCCCAGGACATTGGACAACCACTTTCGGCAGCTCACGGCAGCTCACAAAAGTTCACACCCACTTCACGGGTCACGCCCGCTGACCACCAGCCCAACTGCAGCATACACCATCGCCGTTGACTCACAGCAGCCCAGCTCCAGGTTGAGCTGTTGTTCACCATCTTAGCTGTAGAGGGCGCTGCATCACTGGCCCTCATGTGGGATCCTATCTGGGGCCCTGCTACTCAGAGCTGGCATCCCAAGCCAACTCCTAACCAACGCGCCACTCGGCCAGACCCCGTTGATTATCTTTATTTTAAGGAAATTCTCAGAATTGTCCCTTGTACATAAAAGTCAGAGAAGATATATTTGTCATTTGGTAAAGCTTGTTATGGACTGAATTGTGTCCCCAACCCCTTCAAATTTATATGTTGAAACCTTAACACCCAATTTGACTGTATTTTAAGATAAGGTCTTTAACAAAGTATTTAAGATGAAATCAGGTCATAAGAGTAAGACTGTAATCTCATAGGACTTACATCCTTGTAAGAAGAGGAAGAGACATAAGGCATCTTTTTCTCATTGTGGGAGCACAGAGGAAAGGCCATGAGAGGACAAAGGGCAAAGGTGGCAGTCTGCAAGTCAGGAAGAGAGGTCTCACAGAGACCAACCCCACTTGCATCTTGATCTTGCTATTCTAGCCTCCATAATTGTGAAAAAATAAGTTTCTGTTGTGTGTGCCGCTGAGTGTGTAGTATTTTGTTATGATGCCTGAGCAGACCAATACTGAGCTCTATGGAAATTTTGTAAACCTTTTGAAGCAGAATATCTCATCATCATTATTTTCAATTTTGGCCTAATGCCACTAACATTAGGGAAGTAAAGAGGCATACTTTTATTAAAAAAGGAAATCATATTTTTGAAAACAAACTAATTTTTGAGGATACTTTCCTGATTCATATGATCTGTTATAACTTGTAAAATGTACTATGCTAAGCTTCCTACATCCATGAAATTCAGCTCATATTTTGTTCTGTCTAGTAATCACCATACTACTTAAGGCTATACAATTAAAATAATGTTAATATATGTACAAATTTTAGAATTATTAATGTCCCTGTGTCAAAAATTGGATAAAGAGAAAGAGGGTAAGAAGAGCTGGGACAAGGAAAAGGAAAAATGGGACATGCTCACTAGTCAGTGGTCTTGTGGAATTCTCGGCTTTCCCTTTAGACTAAAATAGAGAAATGGGAAACGTGAGAATGGGATGGAGGGTGGTGTTCTCATAAAAAATTTGTGGTGGAAATGAACAGGATAGTCCACTCAGAACATTGCTGAACTTAGAAGGATCTATTTCCTCTTTTTCTTCTTTTCTGTTTTACCACATTGTCTACAAAAAAACAGACAACATTTGGTGACTAAGAATATAGCAGATGCTGCACAGGCCATCAGAAACCCAATCACATCCAGAGAGTGGTACTGAAACCAGGTGAGGTCGTGGATGGCTGAGCGCAGGTGTTTGGCTCCTTTGTGGCGCATGACAAACTCGATCCAGAAGACTGCTCGATCCAGGGGCTTCACAGGTTGATCATGGTGAATCCTTGATAACTTCATTATATTCTCTTTATAACTGGAAGGCAAGCACAAAGACAGCTGATGAAGTTTGGTTTTTGTTAGTTATATGATACATGTTATAAAAATTAAACAGTGTAAGGGCCCTAGAAACTACTGTTGTATTAACTCTGTTCTTTTTATTTGATTTTAATAGGTGTAGTAGGGAGACTGAAAAAGAAATATGTTCTTAACAGAATGTGGTTAAATGAGGACATAGGAAAAATCAGAATAAACCGGTTATTAATTCAGGACTAATTTTACCATGTAGGACATGTGACATTGTCTGAACTGTACTTTCTAGAAGATTTCCAAGATCAGGATGGTGAAAGATTCGATTGGGAAAATGTCCAGTATTAGGTTTGCAAGCATGGTCTCAAACATTTTCTTGTGTGGGGCCCAACACAAACAATGGTAGAAAACAGTAGTACTTACGAAGGATCATTGATGACTGTTCTCAAGGCGCTGAGCAAATCTGCACTGGTCATGGTGTTCATGTTCAACTCCACAGCCGCTCCTTTGGCCTTCATGTGAGCAATGTTATCATGCTGATCGCCAAATATGGGGACTCCCACCATAGGGACTCCATGATAAATAGCTTCATAGATCCCATTTATTCCACCATGAGTAAGAAAAGCTTTGGTTTTGGGGTGACCTAGTTTGGGAATAGAATGTGAAGCAGGTGAAAATGTCATTATAGCACATTAACAGAATTTTAGAAAAGGGGAAGCTCTATGGGATACGATACTGAGGAAGGCAGTATTTTCTACTGAAGCTGAGCATATGGGGCTGCTACCACAGAAAATTGCTCTCCCAGGAAAAGGAGGCACTGATTCCCACTATGTTGCCTGAAATTCTTACGTGAATCATAGCAAATATGAATCTATAAATGTAATGGTCAAATCTTTAATTCTATGCTTTAAAACTGGAGGTAAATGAGAGACATTTACAGTTTTTAAATATTTGTTGACATTAGTTATATTAACATTAACTGTTAAAGAATTAATCAACTTGTCCATTAACTTCTACACAGTGTTACCAAGTCTTACCAAGAAGATCATTCTGGGGTAGCCAGTGATAGAGCCGAGTATTGGCTCCTAATGTGGCCGGTTTCTTTCCTGTGTATCTCCATAAAACCTGTGGAAGACAATGTATATATTTTGCAAGTAAAACTACAAGATAATGACATTTTCAGATTGTAGAATTATTTGTAAATCATGCATCTACCCTACTCTAGGTGATGTTTGAAAACGGAGTATCTAGATATGCTTTGTAAACACTGGAAGAAATAGTGGGACTGTTTAAAACCACCATTTTTAAATAGCTTGTGGTAGTCGCCTATTAGGTCTAGTATTATTTTGTATATTATCATTTAAAGGCTTCTGGGAATGAGATCATAAGGAAAAAAATTGAAAATTAAGCAGTACTGGCCTATTCTTTTAGAATGCAGAAGTTAAAATTTTTATGACAACATTACTTCTGTATAAATGTATGTCCCTGGCCATCATAACTCTATGTTCAAATTAGTGTTTCTAACAAATACTATTGCTTTAAATTTCATCTACTTGTTTACTTTAATCATTGGTTTTCCTTCCATTCTCCCTTTTTCTTTCTACCTTGTTTTTTCTCTCACATCATTTTTCTTTTTCTTTTTCTTCAAAGCAAGAATGAGGCAGTACATTTGCTTATGTTCCATTGTCCAATGAAGTATCTTGTTTGTTTTGTTTTTATAATTAGCATATTTGTTTTATATAGAATTTTATATAGTTTCACAGAATTTAACAAATATAAAAATAAAACGATTCTTGAATATTTAACAAGTAGCAATATAAAAAAAGTGGAAATCCAGAATTGTGGTGATAACATTAAAAATTAATTGAATATCATAAGTTAGAACATGCAAATTGGTAGACTGTAAGATTAAAATTTCCACGGCCTTTTAACTCTGGAAAACTCTAATTAAGAACACTTGACGAATCTAGGCTGCTACTTTTATGCTCAGCTCCATTGGATCAAGCCCTAATATAACCAAAGATGTGACGGATATTCTTGAGCATGTTTCATCTGTATCTTTGTGGTTTCAGTTTTCCCTTCTACTGGTCCTTAGATGATTACACTTCAGAACTGTTTTGGTAGTAGTCAGAATAGGCATTAAGATTTCAAATACTAGAAATGGAGCAATGGACTTTATGTTGGTTTTTGTTTTGTCTTTTTAATAAGAGTTTGTTTTGTTTTGTTTTTAAACTTTATTGTGGAACAACGTGTTTTTCTAGGACCCATCAGCTCTAAGTCAAGTCGCTGTTTTCAATCTAGTTGTGGAGGGCGCAGCTCACTGGCCCATGTGGGAATGGAACCAGCAACCTTGCTGTTACGAGCACCGCACTTTAATCATCTGAGCCACCCAGCTGCCCCTGGACTTAACTTTTTCATCTCTGTTTTATTAAAAACAAATGACTCCAAAGAGATGTGTTTCCTTAAAACAGCAAAACTCAAAAATCCAGGGTCAAATATACCAAAACTCACTATCGTGATGGTCTACAAATTTTTTCTTGATAGTAATACCTGCTAATTAACTGTAAAATGAACTTCAACTTTCACCTGGAAAGAGACCATTAGCCCCACTATCTTTCAAATTGAAAAAGAGCTGCTCAGAAGGACCAAAGGTTGAACTTACCTTCTGTGGAATCTGGGCTAGGGCTGAGGCAATAAGATTGGCCTTCTCTTCTGGGAGAGTTGGGATAACGGAACCCAGAGAAAACACCACAATACCATCTTCGCCTGAGTTCTGGACAAATTCTTCTATTTCCTGGAGAGAAAAAATTCCTGGTATATAAAGGTACAGCATCCCAGAGAATAAAATAAAGTTCATTTGCACTCCTAACATAAAACTTCAAGGGGATTGCCAGAGGCATGGCTAGACTGTTTTTATCTTTTGACACTGAGAGCCACCTAGTCTTTTTAGGACAAAGGATGTGTTTAAAACCTATGTCTTAAATATGTAATCGAGCAGTGAATAGCCATGGAACCAAACCATTACACAAAAGGATTCGATGATAAGAATATATAGCTTTTCATGGTTAATTGACACTGTAACTCACTAGTTCTAATTTTATTAAAGTACTTAGTGATGTCAGACACATGGTAGTGTGAGGGGTACCCCTTGATCTCACCCCTTGAAGTTACAACAAGTTGAACAGCTATAATTTAACAAAGGACTCCCTGCACAACACAGAAATACATCTGAGAGGTTTGTACATTAAAATACCTGAAAGTGATCAAATTGAGGTGTATATAGGAAGCGGGAAGGGCAGAGAACAGAGATGGGTATGCAGATGCAACTCAGAGCTCACTGCTGCGGACACAGCTTGGAGCTCACTGTGGGTTCCAGGAGAGAGATGGATTCAGTCTGCAGGTGCACTCTCTGTGTCCCTGAGCATCCTTGCCTGAGTGGTCAGAATATAACACTGCTGAACCCTGCTATTGTGGCAGAGACCTCAGGGAAGAGGCTGACCACACAAGTATGACAGCTGTGATCTAGCAGCCCTCACTGCCAGGCAGAGAACAGCCATGGGCCTGGCCACCTCCCTCCACTCCCCCAGAGCTTGCCTTCCTGTATCTTCCCAGACCTAGCAGTAGGCCCCAGAAGAACACATAATAGTGACTGTAAGGTTAACAAGCAGAATATCTACAGCCCTAAGAACTAGAGAGACAGTTCCTGAGTGGCAGTCACACAGAGCAGCTAATCCCAGTGACAAGGGTGGAGATATAGAAGCGAGGCAGCTATAGTCTGGGAGTCACCATTACTCTGATGAGAACAAAGCCACACACACAC